AATATATAAAAATGGGAGACGAATGTTAAATTTGCTAGACATGGGGGAGTTGTCTGCAAAGTTTTAGCTCTTATCTCTAACAAAAAATTAATTTTTTAAAAAATGACCGAATACGTTTCACAGCGAGAAAAAAATAAAAGGCAAGATAGAATTTTCTAGACATAAAGAAGTTGTTTACCGAGTTTTAGCTCTTATCTCTAACAAAAAATTAATTTTTAAAAAAATGACCGAATACGTTTCACAGCGAGAAAAAAAATAAAAGGCAAGATAGAATTTTCTAGACATAAAGAAGTTGTTTACCGAGTTTTAGCTCTTATCTCTAACAAAAATTAATTTTTAAAAAAATGACCGAATACGTTTCACAGCGAGAAAAAAATAAAAGGCAAGATAGAATTTTCTAGACATAAAGAAGTTGTTTACCGAGTTTTAGCTCTTATCTCTAACAAAAAATTAATTTTTAAAAAAATGACCGAATACGTTTCACAGCGAGAAAAAATAAAAGGCAAGATAGAATTTTCTAGACATAAAGAAGTTGTTTACCGAGTTTTAGCTCTTATCTCTAACAAAAAATTAATTTTTAAAAAAATGACCGAATACGTTTCACAGCGAGAAAAAAATAAAAGGCAAGATAGAATTTTCTAGACATAAAGAAGTTGTTTACCGAGTTTTAGCTCTTATCTCTAACAAAAAATTAATTTTTAAAAAAATGACCGAATACGTTTCACAGCGAGAAAAAAATAAAAGGCAAGATAGAATTTTCTAGACATAAAGAAGTTGTTTACCGAGTTTTAGCTCTTATCTCTAACAAAAAATTAATTTTTAAAAAAATGACCGAATACGTTTCACAGCGAGAAAAAAATAAAAGGCAAGATAGAATTTTCTAGACATAAAGAAGTTGTTTACCGAGTTTTAGCTCTTATCTCTAAAAAAAATTAATTTTTAAAAAAATGACCGAATACGTTTCACAGCGAGAAAAAAATAAAACTGTACACTGATTTTCATTTTCATTTCCAGTCACTTTACTTATTATTTTTTCTTTTTTTTTCATTTTAATTATAAATTATTTCATAATACGTTTATTTACGTTACCATTTTCTTTATTCTTTTGAATTCCATACTAGACACTTATAGAATATTTTGATTGTTAACGTACTTCATTAGAATGAATCCTTACAAAGGGTATGTCGATCGAATTTACCTAATTGGTATTTCCAATCAGATTGAAGAAGGTAAAATGACATGGGAAGAAGCTTGCACCCATGTTCCCATCGCCCCAACCCTTCAATCAAATGATTTCAAATATTTAGATGTTTCAAAATCTTTTTTACAAAATCAATTTAGCTTACAGAATATCCCATTGCCTAAAGGCAAGAAAGGTCGTAGGGTCAATCCCTACGACCAAATCAAAGCTCTTGCTGTGATACATGACCACTGGGCCTTTCCCTGTGGTCAAAACAAAACAATGGAAACGTTTGAAATTACAACAAATTGATGTATCTTATAGAGAAGTACGCAGATACTTCAAAGAAAATCATTTCACCAAGACGCGATTAGAGCATGCCGGGCCAGAAACAGCAGTAAGATATTGGGCGCTTTCACCCAATCTTATCTGGCACGCAGATGTTCATTATTTTAGGGGTGTTCGTGGCCAGTATATTTATGGCATAATCGACAATTTTAGCCGCAAAGTCCTAGCGTGTATACAAATACCAGATATGCTGGCAGCGACGCCAGCGAACGTTGCGGCTTCCGCCTTCATTGAATTTGGCGCCCCTTATTGTTTCTGGACCGACAACGGTTCAGAAAATAGGGGCGCCTTTCAAGATCTACTTGATCTTTGGGGCGTCCAATGGCGGCATACAGACTCTCATTCTCCCTACCAAAATGGGAAGATTGAGAGATTCTGGCCGACATTAGAGCGCTGCCAAAGCATTCAGGCTATTCCTGCCTTTATTTGGGAGTACAATAATAACACACCGCATGAAGATCTCCCAATTATTCCATTAACTGGAACAAATTACACGCCAAATCAAATGTATCAGCTGAAACCGAAATACACAAATGCAGATACAGAAAGGTTGTGGCAAATATGGGATACAGATACAGGCATGACCGCTGTTGACACATTCACAGCGTAATAATAAACATAATTTTTTAATTTCATTTTTAACAAGTTTTTTTAAATGTATGTAATGAATAATTCATTAGAATATGATAATGCACATTGTAACAGAATAGAACAATCACCAAATTTTTTTTTGAAATTAAAAAATAAAAGTAAAAAGTATAAAGTAATCTAACCAAAAAAGATATTTAAAAGAATTTTGGAAAAAACAGAATAAGGATAATGATATTATTTTAGATACACAATCGATGTACTGAAGAATAATCCGGTAAAATGATGATATAAAATTAGATTATTTTACAAGTAGCTAAAAGAATAAAACTATAATATAAAATAAATGAAGTTTAATGAAACAATAAAGGTTAAATAAATAATAAAGATTTTTTTTTATATCAGTATTGAGAAGAAGTAACAGCTGACACTTGGTAGACAACTTCTTTATGTCTAGAAAATTCTATCTTGCCTTTTATTTTTTTCTCGCTGTGAAACGTATTCGGTCATTTTTTTAAAAATTAATTTTTTGTTAGAGATAAGAGCTAAAACTCGGTAAACAACTTCTTTATGTCTAGAAAATTCTATCTTGCCTTTTATTTTTTTCTCGCTGTGAAACGTATTCGGTCATTTTTTTAAAAATTAATTTTTTGTTAGAGATAAGAGCTAAAACTTTGCAGACAACTCCCCCATGTCTAGCAAATTTAACATTCGTCTCCCATTTTTATATATTTGGTTTAGAATGTTCGAAAATGCGTAATATGGTCATTAATATTAATTGAAAAGAACCTTGAATTAATTCAATCTGATCTCACAAAATATTTTAAATTACAAACTTTGTAGTTTGAATAGATAATTAGTATTAAACTCAAATAACTAGTTTATTTTTGAATAAAAATTATTTGAATTTATTCAATTTTGTGAATTTTCCTTCAAAAATCAAGTTTAAATATCTTATTTTGCCATATAATTATAAATACAATGAAACATATTCGAAATTGAAAAGAACGACTTTTTCTGTTCTTTCAATCATTCAATTTGAATTTTGCAATATTGGATTTCTCATTAAATAGCTATTAAAAACAACAAGCAATTTAACTTACATTCAAATTTATTTGTGTTATATTCAATCTTCTCAAAACTTATAATTTTCGGCTATAGCATGATTATATGCTATATAATATAATAAACCTATAATAGTATCATTCTTTCAATTATTTGAAGAGAAAGCCGAAAAAATCTATTTTCGATCTATAACAAAAAAAATTTACACTCTCTCACTTTGAAAACGTAGAAAATGCCAATCTATTGGTATACATTTTAGTTTTGTTAAGTTTACAAAACGATTACTCTAGATTTTAAAGATTTATCAAGAATTTAGAGAATATCCTTCTCAAAACAACTTCAATAGCGAAGGATTAGTATTGAATCGGATTTGTAACATAATTATAGTACATTACAATACAATTTCTCCGACTTTTAAATATTTTTGAAATATTTACAAAATATGCTCTTTCTATCATCGATACTTTAATACAGAGCAAATTTAGTAAATGTCATCACGTTATTTTTTCATAAATCGTTTTCAAACTTTTGAAATATTTATTTTAAACCAGTTTTCTACATTTAATATGTGAATTATATCAAAAGTAGATGGGCGATACTTGTAAATCTATTTAAACTATTAGTTTGCTATTATTGAAGAACTTTATAATTTTTTTTCTTATGTATGGAATTAAAGATAATTTTGCCGATTCCAACTGGTTTTTCTATATGAGTTAAATATGCCAAGTGAAATTGGACTTGCCAATATTGTAAATTGAAGTATGGACTATATATCGATTTTCATTGATTGATGAATAACTCGGAGTAATGTAATTGTTGATAATGAAAAATAGTTTTCAATTGCTGGTAAGGGCCAATGTATGTTCAATAGCTCCGAAAGCAAAAAATGCACGTTTAGAAAAAGACGACAACGATTAAATTACAAAATCGATAACGACGACGATTAAATTACAAAATCAATAATGACCCAGCAATTCAAGAATTTTCTCAAATACCATGAATTCTTTTGGTATTTTTTCATAACTAGTTTCAATGGGGATATCATTGCAATCATTCAGATTCAAAATAAAATAAAAAAAGATAAAAATAAAGTACTGAATAATTAAATAGTCCATACTTTAATTAATTACCATCCATTTAAAGTATATTCATGAAATTGTTTGGAATAATGAGCCAGTTAAGAAAAAAAATATTGATTGCTTCAATTTATAAGATTATATAATAACAATATATGATATTTGGTAATCTGAAAAAACGCGATTAATTATTATGCTGATAGATAGAAAAATTTGAAAAATTTTTCAATTATTGAAAGTTTTTTCAATCATCGCAATTAGAATGAAGTTTATTTAATTGCAAATAACATTTCAAAGAAGTTTAGAGACTGTGACTATAAATTGAGAGAACTATTTTTTTTTCTGAACATTTTTTGTTATTTTAAAAAGTGAATGATGTCGAAAATTTATTTATGAAAATATTAACAAGTACCAAATAAGAAACCAATAAAGTTGTTTTCAAAATAAAATTGAATGTATGCTAAATGGCCGTATTTTTAGGTTTTCCAAACTATCGAATGTAAAGCTGTTTTGCATTAAATTTATCATGAAATGGGGAAGATCATGAACGTAGGGATTTTCAGACATCCTTTGAAATGTATCAAAATTTATTGAGATTGAAGATATCTCAAAATTTAACTCGCAAAATCGTTCTTTATTTTGTTCCTATAGGAAAGCAGTTACTATTTGAAATATAGAATATTTCCTTCACAAAAATTTCAAAGTAACCGCTTTAATTAAATTATACCATATTTATACTGATAATGATCAGCTTGTTTGCGCCTCACGTATATCAAATTACCCCTCCTGAAAAGATCTCAAAGAGGACAACATCCCAAGCCAATAGAGACTATGAGAGAGTCAAAGTTAGAGTCCAAAATGCTGGTTCTAAACTTGAACGTGTAACTTCATATTTGGAGACGTTATTTGGTCCTCATCTCACAGCGTATTCACTGCTTAAGCATGCAAATGTTCTTAGTGAAAAACTCTCAATCAACCTTGATAGATTGGCAACTAGAAACAGGCAAGCATTGTTTTGTTGGTTTGCGGAAAACTGGGAAATCATTAGACATTACTTGCCTAATGTCAATGATGTACATATCGTTTCCCATAAACAAACAAATTTCGAAAAGCGCCAACCTGAACAGATTGATGTAACAGATTTATCTAATCTTCTTAACTATCATTAGATAACAATTATTTTCTGCTTTATATGTAAATTATCATGATTATTGCCTATTTAATACATTTTTTTACCATTTTTCTTTTGAGTTTCATTATTGACTAAGTGTCCAACAAGCCATTGTTATATTCTGATTCCAAATTATACCAGTTTTATATTTAAAAAACTGTAGTCCGGTTCAAATTAGATGAGATGATTTTAAAAATGATGAAATATACGATTAAAATGAATATTTCAGATGAAGAAAGTTGCGATGATGATAACGATGGACAAATAATATTTATAAATTCAATATAATTTTTTGAAAAGATGTTTTTAATCCGGCCTATCGTCCAGAGGCCAATTTATTCATTTAATATATATACATAGTTAGGTAGAAAATATTGGGGAGAAGCTTCCTAAACTTTTTAATCCCATAAATATGGTCATTATCTGGAATAAAGAGTTAAGCGTCATATGTCACTTTTTGTACTAAGGAAACATCAACTTTATGCGTTATGACTTTTCGATGAGGAAACAAGTGTTCACGTATTATAAACTTCCTTATTCCAATAAACCGACCCTAAACATAATTAATTCTAAGCATGATAATGGTCTCTTTTCTATGATAACCAAATCAATTTGGTTATCATAGTAAAGCACCAAAAACTGGAATAGGAATCGGCAATATGGAATCATGAAGCAACTCGGATAAAATAAATATGGAACATTCATACATCCATTCCCTATTTTTAACCATATTATATTTTCAAACAAAATTCTCGTACTATTTTCAATAAAATTTGCATAACCTTGTTATTACTCTTAGGCGAAAGATGATTTTAATGTTAATTTTATAGAAGAACTTTTAATGCATAATAAAATAACCATTTCCTATAAATTTAGACTTAAAACGGTGACAATAAACAAGCTTTAGTCTAGAAATTAATTTTCTACTACTATAAATGCATCTTTATCTTTAATTAGAAAAAAATTTATCAATTTTATTATCCAGATGAAAAAAGAAGTGACATATGATATTTTATCTAATTTAAAATCTTTTATTGATTGTTTTTAAAAACTTTGCATTTTGTATGAGTATTTCATGTTTAAATCAGTATAAATACGCAAAATACTTATGAAATTCCAGCTGTTATTCAGTACTATTCATTTTTCAGCAATCATTAACTGTGGAAGAGTATGGCAAACGTTCGATAATGATCATGTATACTCAGATCATCAAGAATGAATTAAAGTCAATGCAGGGAAATGGATAATCCGATTAAAAACCCCAAAAAGGAAAAAGATATTATATGAACGTCTCACAAATGGTTAGTACTAAGCTCTTTCCTGATGATTGAATATTCTTTCATATTTTTGTATATTGTAAGGGATTTTCTCCCCAAATATATAATACCTTCCTTATAAACGATCTACTTTCTTTGAATACAAGTATAATTTTACATTTTAGGAAAAAAATTTATTTTTTCAAATTTATCTTATAACAATAGAGATTTATATATGTGTGTGTCAATATAGGCTTTAGTGGTATAAAATTGGGTAGATTTTGTTTTATTTTGAGTAAAAAATTCAAAAAATACTACCTCATTTTGCGTGCAAAGGAATAGTCAGAGCTATTTAATAACATTTTACGAATGAACTATGGAATTACTATAACTTTTGAAGAAATTTCAAAGTTAATAGAAGATTGTATTTTAGAAATCAGCTAAAAGAATGATGTGCATGCATCAAGCGTTAAAGTATCCTAATCAGAATATAGTAATATACAATGATTAGCAAAGCAGATTTGAATCGGCAAGAAGAGTTGCTTAAAAAATCAGTTGAGTCTTCTCTAGTTTCCACACTGCCTATTCCTGTTTAAGTGCGGTTATTCCTATTCCAGTTTTTGGTGCTTTACTATGATAACCAAATTGATTTGGTTATCATAGAAAAGAGACCATTATCATGCTTAGAATTAATTATGTTTAGGGTCGGTTTATTGGAATAAGGAAGTTTATAATACGTGAACACTTGTTTCCTCATCGAAAAGTCATAACGCATAAAGTTGATGTTTCCTTAGTACAAAAAGTGACATATGACGCTTAACTCTTTATTCCAGATAATGACCATATTTATGGGATTAAAAAGTTTAGGAAGCTTCTCCCCATTATTTTGTGATATATAACGTGCATTTAAAATGGGGTTACAGTTTGAAACATATAAACAATACTGAATGATTTGATGATAAATATGTCCAACAAAGATCTCTCTGTATATTTAATATGGTTCTGGAATTGATCAATCCTTTGCGAAGACGACAAATTGGTAAAAAAGGGGGTTGGCGTCCTAAGGCGTCCTAGTGTAAATTTCTCAAAATTGTGATATTTACATCACATTTTTGAAAGGTTTATGGGCGTCCTAAGGGAAAATTGAATAGCTAGGGCGTCCCGAATTTTCATTCTAAGATTTAAATATATTATATACTTAAGTATAATACAAGCAATATAAAAATTAAATTTTTATTATGTTAACTTATAAGAAATTTTTTTGAATTATCGTTGATTTATTGTAATCTTTCCAGGCTATACTTTTGAAATCAACTTTACATGTCATACGCATTAATGTAGTAGATGTCCAGGTGTAGCTATTATATCCCAGCAATATTGGTATTTTATCATTGTAAGATATCAAAATGAAGCGTTTTTTCAGATATAATTTTTCGTAAATTTTTCAAAAATAAGATGGTAAAAAAGCCTCGACTTGCTCGAAAAATAACAATTTTTTTACTTGTAAAAATAACCCTTTTACAGCATGGGCAGCTATTCAATCACTATTTCTTTTTCTAAAAGTATATTTTTCAAAAAAAATTAAGATCAAATTCGACAATTTCTTGATGAAAGCAAAAATATTACACATACTTCTCGATGCATGGGATAAAATATGCAATTATTCAATCAATTCGCATGATTTGAAAAAAAAATCTAAATTTGATAAAAATGTAGAAAATTTTTATTTTTAACTTGAGATTCGATTTTTTTGATCCAATTTGTGAATTTTTTTTGATCGGAATTTCAATTAATTTGTTGATCAAAAATGACCTCACAATGTTTGATCATAAGTGAAGTCATCTTCATGGGTATTTAGAAATTCCAAGAGAAATTGCTTATTTCTCGCAGATGTAATATCTGAGAAAATCGAATTTAAATATTCATAGAAACCCAAATCATTCTCCGGTTCGAATAATTCATCTGTTGCTTTTTCTGTTTTTTCTATGAATTTTAATAATTTGATTAATAAATCTTCATCAGGAAGAATTATTGCTGCATTTGTGATAAAATTCCATATTGAGGTAATATGGCAATAATTACATTTATAAAATGTAATTTTATCCAAAATTTTTTGGCAAATTCGCATAATAGCATTAATATTTGAAGCTGAGATTAAACCTGTGATTACTTCTGTAACTTTTGGAAAATCATCGCAATTTAATATCTCTTTATATTGAATTGAGAAATAAAAAAAATCAAATGGATTCATTTCTTCAATTTCAAGGAGATTGTAAAAATTGATAGAAGTGTTATTGCAACAAATTGTATTTGCAGCAAAAAAATTCATTTGCTCGATTCCATTTTTGGAATAAATTTGCTGGAACAATGTTAAATTAAAACAGTTGCTTAATTTTTCTTCATTGTTTTCATAAAAAAGTAACAAGTTTGCAACTGAAATTTCAAAATTTTGATAATTGCCAGTTATTTCAGTAAATATATATATTTGCTTTTCTTCATCTAAAAATGGCAAATATTGATTTGCAATATTAACTAAAGTTTGGGATAAATTGTTCCAGTTTGATTTTACAATTTGTGAGCACATTATGTAATATGTAAATTTATCCGCTTTGTAGGAATTTAAAATTGTTTGTTGTTCTGTTTCAGTTAAATTACTGAATTTTTCAAGATTAATATTGTGATAAAAAATAGAATCCTTGAAACATTCTGATATCTTTTCAATGTTTAAAACGGATGCTAAAAAATGTAAAAGAACTTCATCAGTCACTGTGATTTTTTTGAAAAATTTATCCCAATTCAAGCATCCAATTGATCTTTCTGTCATTGTACTTATGCATTGATAAAGTTGATTTAATGAATCCGAAGAATAATCATTATGCTTGACTAGTTGAGTTAGTTGATACAGACTGTCGTCAGCCATTTTAAAAAAATGAATAAAATTGTATAGTAAATTATATTTGTGAAATTTGTGACGCTACATTCAATCTAAGACCAATATCTCAAAGAATTCCTCATTTAAGTATTACTTTTCATTGTTTTTTAAAAAATATCTTTGCTTATTTGTTCACTTTTTTGACATTTATTATATGCTTTTTATCATATTTCCGATGATATGAATATATATTCTATATAAGAATGACGCTACATTCAATCTAAGACCAATATCTCAAAGAATTCCTCATTTAAGTATTACTTTTCATTTTTAATTCAATTTTCGAACGGTTTTCGTAAATTTTGCATCATTTCATTTTTTAATGGGAAAATCATCTATATTTAATCAAAAAAGAGCAAACTTTACAGACGAAAATAAAATATTTATCAGGGAACAATCTGATAAATACCAAAAATCAACATCGAGAGATGAAAAAACGAATATAATCAAACAAGTTCTTCAATATTTTAATATTAAATACGCCGAAAATGAATCTAAAGCTGTCAGAAGATATTTTAGTTATATTGCAGTTAAAAATATTCCCGCAGTTACTGGAAAATATCCTGATACAATTGTTCGCAAAGATATGCTTTATTCGCATGATCATACAAATATTATTAATTCAAATAATATTGAACGTTACTACCGTTGCATCGATCATTCTTGTCAAGCACGTTATTTAGTTAAAATTGAGAACAGTTCAGTTTCCGAAGATTTACAAAAGGAACATATACCCGAATGCAGACAATTTAAAAAGTTACAAAATGAAAAAAATGATCTTCATAAATCAATGACTCTGACAGAAATATACAATAAGGCAATGGCAAAATTTTCTGAAGACAACGGCACTTTTCAGCAGATTAAAAAATTTATGACAGAACTTGCTGTTGGTACTGATGAAAACCCATTAATTAAAGATTCATTGGTCAGGGAAGTTTATAATAAGTCCAGAAAATTTCTGTTGGAGAAAAAATTACAGACGATGAAATTGCTAATTTTTGTTTAATAAATGGCGAGCAGTTTTTCATTGGCCATGATTTTCAAGCAAATTGTGAGACGATGTTTTTTGGTTTTGAGAAGGCAATTCAATTTGCAAAAGAAGCCACAGATTTATTTTGCGATGGAACTTTTAAAATTACACCAAAACATTTTCAAAAAGGACAGATGCTAACAATTATGATTTGTGAACCTTCAACAAATCAATATCTACCACTTTTATTTATATTCATGAAAAACCGCACATTTGAATCTTATAAGAAGGCATTTGAATATATTTTTACTGTCAAGGGTATTCAATTTTCAAAGCTAATTCAAATTCATTGTGATTTTGAAAAGGGAATGATAGAGGCACTTCAACAAATTTTCCCTAAAGTCCGTATAATTGGATGCCTATTTCATTTCAAACAAGCTTTACACAGGAAACTTGTAGCACTTTATACAAAAAATTTCAATACTTTACAAAATTCTTTATTTAAGCTATATTCTATTACTCCATTCATGTCTCATGAAGAATTTGTACTTACAATGCATATAATTAATCAAAATAAAGTTGATTCGATCAAAGATTATATTGATTATTTCAACAAAGTTTGGTTGCCGCACTACAATTTAATATCTCAATATAATAATGCAACTGCAATATTCACTAATGATTGCCTCGAGAGTATGCATTCAGAATTTTCTTCGTTAAAACATCCAAACATTTATGAAGCTATTAAGAAGATATCTCAAATCCAATTAGATAAATATAACGCCATCAAAAATAACCAGAAGATCGAGCGCCATATAAAAACCGTTATCACTGATAGCTACAAAAATTATATTCTTGACTGCTTTCAAAAAGAACTTGAGAAAACAATTTTTTCTATCAAACAATACAACGTAAGTGATCTTTCTTTGGCTCAGAACGAGATTTCTCCATATGGTTCCATAGAATCGAGTTCATTGTTCGAAAATATTCCAGTTCATGATGCAGATATACTCAAATCGATCGATCTAACAGATAAAGATACAATGATCACTAAGTTTATTAATGAAAAAAGAGAAAAAATTATGGCATTATTTAATGAAACATTAAATCATCCAGATTTTAATTCATCCACTCCAATTCAAACTAATTTTGAGCAAGCCGATACAAATCAAGGTTCAGATGCTCCAATTCGCTCCGAAAATTCAAATATTGCAGACTCTACAGATTTAGAACCAGAAAATCAAAACCATCCTTCTACAAATCAAATGTCTAGTAATCTAGAACATAAGCTGGACCTTCTTGATCATATTGAAAAACAATTATCGAAAATGCGCTCGTTATTGGGAATTCTTCCTACTACAAATGCTATTGTTGGGCCGTCAAAACAAGTTTCAGTTAATAGCAAGCAAAATTCTGAAAAAAAAAAAAAAAATCTTCCATAACAACAAAATCAAACAATAAAAAACAAAATTCATCCGACAATCCTCCTAAACGTAAAGCTCCTATTTCGGAAAGGATTCTCAGCGATAATAACTTATATTTTCAAGTTCATCGAAAGAGATCGAAAAGCAAACGTTCCACATCTACAGAGAAAAAGAATTGATATATGAAGTCTAATTCCTTTTATAACTACTATATTTTTATTCTTATGACTAAAAAATAATATATTATTTAACAATTTTCATTTTTTTCTTTTAACAATTTCGTTTTATTTCCATTTATTGTTAAATGATTTTTAGCATACACCTTTCTTTGTTCATCTTCTAAATACAATTTATTTTTTCTTAGATATAATTCTATTCATTCAATTCGATCGTCATTTTTCAGTACATGATCGTAATTTTCAATTATTGATCGCGATTTTACTTCAGAATTTGTTCGCAATATTGCTTATCAAAATTATATCTCTATTCTCTCATTTCTGTTTAGTCAATATCATTACACTCCTATTGTCTAATAACATGCTATTAATTTTCTTAAAATTAAAAAAAAATATCAACTTTTAAAAACAGAAACTTAACATCCTTAGGTCAATGGATTTTGATGTGAGATACATTTAATCTGTTTTTCTTTTTTTATTTTAAATAATTGAATATTTATAGTTGTTATGGGTCTTACATCATGTAAAACGAATTTTCTTAAAGTAAATTTACTTTTTCTTCAATCTTTCTTACATATTTATTAAAAAAAATTATCCAAAAAAGATGTTTTAGAATGAAAAAAAATAGAAAAATCTTCATTTATAGTCTTTCTTGAATGTATACGTTTTGATTTTTTCTTTTTTAAAAAATTTAATTTCTAGAAAAATCGAGAAAAAATCATTTTCTTCTATTTTTTTAGGACGCCATACCCATTGAAATCTCTTCTCAGGACGCCATAAACTATTCAATTATGGTGTAAACTTCTCAAAAATTGAATAGTTTACATCAGGACGCCTTAGGACGCCAACCCTTTACGCGCCCCGAAAAATTAGATAATCTCAAATCATATTAATATATTTTAACAGCATCGTGATTCTTTGCATATAATTAAAAGAAAATTAAGTTTTAATTCCAATGTCTCATCAAATTAATAGAAAACATTTAAATAAATAACAATATTTTGATCAGGACTTCAAGTGGCTTGTTCTCTTCTCATACCCACTTGATTTCACATTCGTCTGCCCAACAGAGATCATTGAGTTCTCCAACAAGTACGAAGAATTCAAGAAGTTCGGTGCTGAAGTCCTCGGTGTTTCCGTTGACTTAGTTTACTCCCATCTTGCTTGGATCAACACACCACGTAAGGAGGGTGGCCTCGGTGGTATCAAGTACCCACTTATTGGCGACCTTGGTGCTAAGGTTGGCAAGGCTTACGGCTTCTACATGGAAGATGCTGGCCATGATCTTCGTGGCACAGTTATCATTGATCCACAGGGTATTGTCCGCCATGTCCAGATGAACCATCCAGATGTTGGCCGTAATGTTGATGAGATCATCCGTCTCGTCAAGGCTTACCAGTTCGCTGCTAAGCACGGCGAAGTCTGCCCAGCCAAGTGGCACGATGAAGGTGATGCTACAATCAAGCCAACACCAAAGGCTTCTAAGGAATACTTCCAGAAGGCTAACTAAATTGTCTACCTCCATGAGTAAACTTTCCTAATTTACAAATTTTCTTTATAGATCTTTTCTCAATATCTTATACCAAAAGTACATATCTAAATTTTGAAAATCTCAATATCTGAAGATATTTTTTCTTAATTTTTCATGGTTACATAATTTGAGTGAGAATTCATCATGTTGGCCTGCATATCTTGCTACCTAGATAGATTTTGTTCGGCAGAAAATTCCAAATTTTTTTCATTTTTCAGATTATAATTTAAAAATTCTAGGAAATTATCATCATTTTCAGAAAAATGAAAATAATTTGGAAAAATTCCTATCCATGGATACATTCTATTTTAGGCAATTAATATTTTGATGTGTAAAAAATTTATCAAAATATGTTTTTCAATGATCAATAATTAATAAAGGATAAGATCTTTATTATCTCTTCAATACTATATAAAATTAGAATGGATCTATGTAGTAAACATAAATTACTTTGTAAATTTGCATAAACGATACTGTTTATTCCTATTTCGAGATCAGTAAAGATGATAACAAATGATATCTCGAAATACATAAGATAACTATATTATATAGCGGAACGGTATGAAAAATTACGTCGAATGTTGCTGTTTAATTCGGAATGTAAATTGTCTTTATTTAGGGAATTCAATATCTAGGTAATAGCTAGATTGAGTTTTAATTAACATCATGATTACATAAAGTTTTGTCCTATAATGTATATCTCGTAATGAAGAATACAGCTTGATATATATTGTTGCTATTATTTTGGGATCTTTCGATTCTAATATAGAATATATCGTACGCACTAAGTTATATTCGAATTGTGAGGCAAGGTTTCCATGATGTTTATTTTATTTCATGATTTTTTTTGATTTCTCTTTGAAAAGTAATGATATAACTAGGTTATGATCACTAAATCATGAAAATAAGTTTCAGGATAATGAAAGAGAGAAGATTGCGATCAATATCATTGAATGTTCATGATCAGTAATGAAATTTCGACAAAAATTATTTTTGAGTTAATATTTGAATTAACACATACAAATTTTTGATAAGAATAATTGAAAAAGGGGATCGGAAATTCAGAATTTAAAGTGGGTCATTGCCTACATTTAGGTTTTGATTCCATCTCCAAGCTCTACATCTCAGGACTGTTTTCTCAGATGGAAGGGCATCAATATTCTCAAGGATTGTCTGAATAATCTCTTAATATTGAAATGATTCGATATATAAATTATCAGAAAGGCAAAAATTGAGTACAGAGACACAAGGAATACTCAAAATTAGACCATACCAGATAGATTTTTCAATATTTTTACGATTTATTTCAAAATGACAATTTCTCCAACAATATTTACCTTTTACTAGCTCATCAATGATTAGCAAATAGTCGTTGATCTTATATTAATAACTTAATTCCCATCATAACAGGTTTTAGTTATTTTTTCAAAAAGCCCATAAAAAAACGAAACAAATACACTTAGATCATTAAAACACACATGCATCAGATTCAAATATCATCATGACAGCCATTAAAAGCCCATTTCAAAACTTACAGTCGAACCTTATTTTGAAAAAATTGATTTTTACGAGAAATGACACAGATATTATGATAGACAACTTATAGGAGAGTTCGGAAACCATGTTATTTCCTGTAGAAATTCCTATCCGAATTTTCTCGGATTTTTGGGCGCGTAAAGGGTTGGCGTCCTAAGGCGTCCTGATGTAAACTATTCAATTTTTGAGAAGTTTACACCATAATTGAATAGTTTATGGCGTCCTGAGAAGAGATTTCAATGGGTATGGCGTCCTAAAAAAATAGAAGAAAATGATTTTTTCTCGATTTTTCTAGAAATTAAATTTTTTAAAAAAGAAAAAATCAAAACGTATACATTCAAGAAAGACTATAAATGAAGATTTTTCTATTTTTTTTCATTCTAAAACATCTTTTTTGGATAATTTTTTTTAATAAATATGTAAGAAAGATTGAAGAAAAAGTAAATTTACTTTAAGAAAATTCGTTTTACATGATGTAAGACCCATAACAACTATAAATATTCAATTATTTAAAATAAAAAAAGAAAAACAGATTAAATGTATCTCACATCAAAATCCATTGACCTAAGGATGTTAAGTTTCTGTTTTTAAAAGTTGATATTTTTTTTAATTTTAAGAAAATTAATAGCATGTTATTAGACAATAGGAGTGTAATGATATTGACTAAACAGAAATGAGAGAATAGAGATATAATTTTGATAAGCAATATTGCGAACAAATTCTGAAGTAAAATCGCGATCAATAATTGAAAATTACGATTATGTACTGAAAAATGACGATCGAATTGAATGAATAGAATTATATCTAAGAAAAAATAAATTGTATTTAGAAGATGAACAAAGAAAGGTGTATGCTAAAAATCATTTAACAATAAATGGAAATAAAACGAAATTGTTAAAAGAAAAAAATGAAAATTGTTAAATAATATATAGGGTGTCCAAAGGTGCGTTTAGCACAGCGCTCTATATGAGACTATTAAAGGAGATATATGCTGATTATAAATATATAATAAAAAATATGAATTTATGTATATGATGAGTAAGTTGTATTTTGGCGCCATGCCGGGATATAAAATGAATTTTGAGACAAGAGGCGGTTTCGCGGGAAATTTTGGCGTTTTTTTTTCATTTTTTTAATGAATCATAAAGAAAACATCCTCGCTCTTGCAAAAAAATGCAAAGACTGTAAAAAAATCTACGAGACATTGGTAAAATGCTTCGGTATGGATGCTCCTAGCTATTCCACTGTAACGTATCATGTTAGGATGTATCACTTCATGAACAAAAAGGCGCCCATCATAAAATTGACAAAAAATCGCCGGATCAAAGAAAAATCAAAGCGATTCTTCAAGCGCTAGATGAAGACCCAAGAGCATCACTCAGAAGGATAGAGGAGATGACAAAGATACCACGTACAACAGTCAGTTATTATCTGCACAATTATTTGAACTACAAACTAGCGCTATACACGTTGGGTTCCGCACAACCTTAATTCAGTTCAAAAAAAATCTAGAGTCCAATCTTCGAAAGAGCTCCTCTCTATATGGGTGCGTACCAATCCAAGAAGTTTCGCTTTTTAGTAACAGGGGACGAGTCTTGGTTTCAATATGCAACAGAAGCCAAAATCATGTGGATCCCGAAGGATGAAAATCCGCAAACATTCCCGAAGAAAAAATTGACACACCAATGATGATGTTGTCGGTTTTTGGGGCGTGAATGGCATCATCGCAATTGATATTCTTCAAAAACCTAATACGATGAATGCTCAGTATCTAATTGACAATGTTCTTACTCAAATTATCAATTCTGATGAGTTTGAGAAATCCAAACAACAAAAACAAAAGTTTGCAATTCATTTTGATAATTCAAGAGTTCACAAAAGTCATAAGGTAATGAATTACTTGGTGGAAAACAATGTCAAAGTTGTTCCAACCCAATTTATTCACCTGATATTGCACCCTCTGACTTTTATTTATTCGGCACGCTAAAAAAGAGAGCTGAAGGACGCGAATTCGCGAGTCCAGATGATCTTGAAAATTTTGTAAGAGAGCAATTTGAGCAATTTTCTCATGATGATTTAAAGCGTGTCTTTCAAGCCTGGATCGATCGCTGCGAACGCGTGATTGAATCCAATGGTGATTATATTTAAATAAACTTTATATATATGTAACTTGTTTATTTCTATTCGCAGTATTCAGGTTTGTGCTAAACACACCTTTGGACACCCTATATTATTTTTTAGTCATAAGAATAAAAATATAGTAGTTATAAAAGGAATTAGACTTCATATATCAATTCTTTTTCTCTGTAGATGTGGAACGTTTGCTTTTCGATCTCTTTCGATGAACTTGAAAATATAAGTTATTATCGCTGAGAATCCTTTCCGAAATAGGAGCTTTACGTTTAGGAGGATTATCGGATGAATTTTGTTTTTTATTGTTTGATTTTGTTGTTATGGAAGATTTTTTTTATTTTTTTCAGAATTTTGCTTGCTATTAACTGAAACTTGTTTTGACGGCCCAACAATAGCATTTGTAGTAGGAAGAATTCCCAATAACGAGCGCATTTTCGATAATTGTTTTTCAATATGATCAAGAAGGTCCAGCTTATGTTCTAGATTACTAGACATTTGATTTGTAGAAGGATGGTTTTGATTTTCTGGTTCTAAATCTGTAGAGTCTGCAATATTTGAATTTTCGGAGCGAATTGGAGCATCTGAACCTTGATTTGTATCGGCTTGCTCAAAATTAGTTTGAATTGGAGTGGATGAATTAAAATCTGGATGATTTAATGTTTCATTAAATAATGCCATAATTTTTCTCTTTTTTCATTAATAAACTTAGTGATCATTGTATCTGTATCTGTTAGATCGATCGATTTGAGTATATCTGCATCATGAACTGGAATATTTTCGAACAATGAACTCGATTCTATGGAACCATATGGAGAAATCTCGTTCTGAGCCAAAAAAAGATCACTTACGTTGTATTGTTTGATAGCAAAAATTGTTTTCTCAAGTTCTTTTTGAAAGCAGTCAAGAATATAATTTTTGTAGCTATCAGTGATAACGGTTTTTATATGGCGCTCGATCTTCTGGTTATTTTTGATGGCGTTATATTTATCTAATTGGATTTGAGATATCTTCTTAATAGCTTCATAAATGTTTGGATGTTTTAACGAAGAAAATTCTGAATGCATACTCTCGAGGCAATCATTAGTGAATATTGCAGTTGCATTATTATATTGAGATATTAAATTGTAGTGCGGCAACCAAACTTTGTTGAAATAATCAATATAATCTTTGATCGAATCAACTTTATTTGATTAATTATATGCATTGTAAGTAAAATTCTTCATGAGACATGAATGGAGTAATAG